GCCAAACATTTCATGAAGTGATGACAAGTTTCGGTTTCAGCGTAATCGGGACGCGTTATCGTAACTGCCTTCATGCTATCTATCATTCAACCTATTCTTCGTCTCCGCTTAACATTATTCACGTATTTAGATGTTTGTTAGATTGACGGCAAGATCAGTTGTTGGACTACCTAACCACAAATCGATAAGCTGGTTCAATGACACTGACTGCTTGACCCAATATTACTCATCGTGCTTGATTTATCGAGGGCAACTTCCTCCGACGTTCGCAGATTCACTGTCTTGAAGTTGCTATTTTCGATAATTCACCGAATATTTTGGAGCAAATAGGTATTTGACAAACTGAATAAGCATAAGTTGGAATTTTTGTAGTGTGAACTTATAATTTTATGTGATGAACGTGGTTATACTGCTGATAAGGTTAGGCACTCCAGAGACACAGACAATTTCTTGCATTAGCTCTCATGAAAAATAAATGAGTAAGGTATCAATTGAGGTAGTGATTTATTCGTACACTTCGTGTTGAATGTAGACAAATAAACTTTGTTACGATAAAATTATTCCCTTGAAATATCATCTTGGTTTTTGAAAGATACTGTTTGAAAAATATCTAGGTAAAACAAAAGAGATAACGTCATTTAAAAAATAAAAAAGTTACACAACACATTCCCCACAAAGTCACTTATAACAAAACGTGAATAAAAGTAGAAATAACGAATGCATGCATTGAACTAGTTAGTTCTTTCAAAGAAAATGACGAACAAATATGTACCGATGATAATAAAATTAGAATTACTCATGTCAGAAATATTCATATGATTCATTGAGAAAATATCGTTGTTTTACGCGCCAGTAGCTGCTTAACAGGTGTGCAAGTTCTGGAATTGTTGAGAATTTAGGTAACCATTCCCACCTGATAGTTTGTAGATGTGTCGAGTTACTGGCGAATGATGGTGCGGTTCATCTTGGGTTGTTCGAATCCGATAGTTTAGTATTTCCCAGATTACGCGTTCGGTGATAACTGTCACTTCTCTGCGAATTCGCTTGTATCTGGTTCTGCATTTTACCAACAATATATTTACAATAGTCTAATACACGTTTATAGTAATCACATATGCTGGCAAACGACGCAAACACAACCACGCAAAGACAGCACCCGACAGCACGCACCCAAGGACAATTCAAACTCCAATTGACCGCCACCATTCTAGCCAATGAAAGACGAAAAAAACTGAGTCGCGGAAAATATAACACGAACCCACGTATATCCTCACCCTCGTCTCATCGGTCTCTGTTCAGAAAGAAGACAGAACAAAACTGTCAGAAGTAATATTGTGATTTATTATTGTAATATTTGTTCATAGACCTTAGTTAAAGCTTAATTTTAAAGTTGGATATATGTTGGTGTTACAATAAAGAACTCTCGAGTAGCCAATCGGTGTTTTGGTTTTGCGTCCGTTATTACTAAGCGTTTCTGAGAAACTTCAAGGGACAGCGTGAGTCCCAGCGTAGCAAGAGCTGGGCATTGACGGTTTACGAGACGTGGCTGACAGCAGTTTTTAAAAGAACACATTAGGAACATCACATGTTTAGAGGAAGCGCACAAAATTTGTCAGACATATATACTTTTGCTTCACTGTGAAATTTCCACGCCAACGTATTACTAAAAGGATTTGTATATTTCTCCACAACTTCACTGATGTGTATCTGAGCTAGAAGAACTTCTATTCATCCTTACATTAATCCGTGTAGGGAATATTTTGAAGTGATTCCCGAGCGGTGTCAACTATTTTATACTGGAAAGAGGTAGAAGGCATCCCTAGTCTCTCGCCTCATATGAAGTTTAGTTTAACTTGGTGCACAATGACAGTTTTATGGATGATCTGCGAATTAAGGTCTCGCACACCTTTTAAACAACTTGTGCTTATACCGATCAATATAGTAACCTGCTTTCACTTATAGGCCGAAGTTATTTATGTTAAATCGGAATCTCATTGCAGTTGGGTCTTTCTCTGAAATAGAGACTACTCGACACACAAATTCGTCATGACGCTTCACACTGTGGTCATAGACCTAATACCGTCTGTCTAAAAATCAAAACCAGACTTCGCGGAATACATGAAAAAGGATATTACTGCTGCGTTAGTCAGTGATTTGAAGCCATAATTCCACAATATTAAATGATATTAAATTTCGGCCTATTGCAATTACTTCCCCCTTTTTAAAATTGATGGAAAAATTACTTTTACTTCGTCTTGAACCCGCTTTGAAACCTGTTAATGATCCTAAACAATTTGCATACAAACATGGTAGAAGTACCTTGGATGCTGCGGTTGTCTTATATCACAATGTTGTCTCTTGTTTAGACAAAGGTGCTAAATATGTTCGTAGTGCTTTCTTAGACTACACATCTGCTTTTGACTCTGTACCTAGGGGCCTTTTATTAAATAAGCTATCGTTGACACAAACAGGATCCTGGGCTTAGAGTTGGTTGCATTCCTATTTTTCTGATAGAATGCAGTATACTGTATATAACGGCAAATCTTCTTCTACCTCGCTTACAAAATCCGGTGTTCCACAAGGTGCTGTCCTCTCTCCTTTTCTTTTTTCTTTCTTCCTACATGACCTGCCCCATTCAAACGAAACTAACTTTGTTAAATATGCAGATGATCTGACTGTATCACTGCCTATCACTTCCGAGTCTGACAGCTTCAAACTTAATAGCTTTCTGTTAGACATCAACAACTGGTCCAAGTCAAATGGTCTTATGTTAAATCCTTCCAAATGTCAGGTGCTTGACTTTACTTTCAAGCATCGACGTGACTTACTTGAACTAGTTAACTCTCATGATCCCTGTAGCATAGATGGCACGGAAATTGAAACCAAATCAAGTATTAAATACCTTGGACTAGTTTTTTCCTCTGACCTTTCATGGTCATCCCATATCTTATCTATCTCTAAGAAAATGTTTCGTCTAACCTTCTACATTAAAAAGTTAAGACAATCAGGTATCAACCAACCTTTAGTTTTGCAATTTTTAAACTCCTGTATTTTACCTATTGTACTCTACTGCTCTCCATTAATCTTTCCTGGGCTTCTCAAAAAAGATTATATCATATTACGAAGAGTATTAAATGCCGTGAGTAGAGCTTGTGGTCTGCCACTGCATGAGCTCGCTAATACTATAGTCGAGAGGCATATAAATTCCTGTACGAAATGGGCAAAGGCTATAATGTCAGACCCTCCGCACCCCCTTTATTCACACCTGTCCCCTTGTATCTCATCAGGTAGGACGAGAAGTCAATATAAAAAGATATATGCTCGTACTACTAAGTATAGAAATTCTACAATACCCTATTTAGCGCGTACTTTATGTGACGAAGACTCTGTTAGACGTGAAACTTACAAGTTACTATGTAATTAGCACAGTGAATCGACCCTTTTATCGTTCATCTTTCTGTATTTTATGGTGTTACACTTTCTATCGTTTAAATCGTTACTCTGCTATTTTATATTAGTTGATATTACTATTATTACTACAATTTTGTACTTTATACATATTTTTCTCCGTATGGCACACAGTATTTTGCTACGCAGCTGCTACAACAATCGTTTTATTACTATTATGTATTGTGTATTTTTAATTTTTTTTGTCGTTTTTGGGTAAATTAGATGCAATATTGTACTGAATGCTGAAAATTCCTTGCTGTATCATGAATACTGTTTTTGGAATAAAGCAATTATTATTATTATTATATCTGCCCCAGATGTCACGCGCTGAACAGTGCTGCTAGTTGCTCGGATACAGACAACCTTCGGCGAATGGTCATTCATGGAGAAATATACATACTTTAAAAATAGTGCAGGAACAAATACAAAATGGAATGAACTCACCGGATTTGTCTGTGTATTTACCAAAGATGAAGTTCGCGGTAGGGCTCATCAATTTAGAGGCTAAAGGTGTTGACGCTTTGGTATAGTACGTAGCATACCAACGCATGATCTAATACCCACAATATCCATAGTATTCGCTCAGTCTAGACCGAAGGTAAAGCAAAACACCAAAATTGATCGTTCAAATTACGAGGTGAATTTCGAGGGTGCGAGATGATATATAATGTCGGCGAATTCCACACCAGCCTTTCTTTTTCTGTGATGATATATCGTTAGCAATCAGTCTGCTAGGGTTGATGCAAATTTCCCGAATAGGCGAAGTGGTCAGTACACTGTGCCACTACAGTACCTTTCTTAAATCCAGGAGTCGGCGCAGCCTAGCCTCGATGCGTCACCGTATGATGGGCATAGGTGAATCGAATGTCAAACATTTGAAGATTTCTGATCGATCTGTTCCGAAGACTCAGCATTTTCTCCTCAGCCCGCGGGAGTTAATTTCCCGACACCCCATCTACGAAAAAACATTGACACAGCATCTCTTAGTTGACTTACCTGAACGTCTTCAGATGCGGGTCAAGAACAGTGGAGCGGGTGTTACTGGGAGGAGAGGAAAGTTCAATTTCCGCCGCGTATCAGGGGGATCAGGTAGGAAATGGACCATTTAATATCGAGAGTGAAGGCCAGATTTTTACGACTCTAATCGTAATTGTTTATTAGTCAACTGTAGGCCATTATGTAAAAGATTTCAAGGTGCTAGCATTAGTTTATTGGAAGTTTTTAAGCCATATTGTCCGTCCAATGATGATTAGGAACTTATAAAAGTCAAGAAACTCAGTATCTAGATGAACAATGATGCACAGGGGTAACATTATCAGTCACGATGTACTTTTCGACAGCTCTTTGGAAACCTTAGGCAAGGTGAAATAAAGGACATATATCAAGAGAAAATGAGAGGAAAATTACCTAGCAAACATTCATATAAATTCAGCTGAATATTTGTTCAGTCATAATACAATGGCTCCGTGATGTCTGTTCATTAGCCATCACCTGGTTGATGGGTCTTAATTAGTATTTATCATTTTACATGTAAACAGTTAAAAATGTATGATTCCCTGTCAATTAATTTTCATGTGAAAACTCAGGTTTTCAGAGAGTGATAAACTCATGCACAATCTTTATTAGAGAAACACTACATCATATGATTACTGCTTTATAGGAGAAAGTAGGTCTCCACATAATTAAATTATGTATAATCCTAGACACGCGATCGTTTTTGTCTTTGAAACTACTTCAGTATTAGCCGTTGAGTATTGAACACATTAATCAGTTTGTTTCTATCACTTGCTGGAACAGGCACTTTATCCAAATCGTTGGCGTGTAAGGTGAGGTCTTGAAATACATTTGTCATCGCGTAATCCAGATGGGAAGGGTTATTAGAAGTCAGCGTAAGGGTGCTGGGGGCATATTCAAAGCACATACGAAGCATCGTAAAGGAGCTGCTAGATTGCGGCCAGTCGACTTCGCCGAACGTCATGGATATATCAGAGGTGTCGTCAGGGAAATAATCCACGATCCGGGTAGAGGAGCCCCACTAGCCAGAGTTACTTTCAGGGATGTTTACTCCTACAAACTGATCAAACAAACATTCATTGCTGCAGAAGGCTTACATACTGGTCAGTTTGTGTATTGTGGTAAGAAAGCCAAACTTCAGGTAAGTGTAATGTTGCGTGATAACACACGACAGATAGGTAATATTCTTCCCATTGGTGCTATGCCCGAAGGTACAGTGGTCTGCAATCTCGAAGAAAAGTGTGGTGATCGTGGGAGACTTGCTCGTGCAAGTGGTAACTATGCCACAGTGGTTGCTCATAATCCTGACACGAAGCGAACCAGGGTTAAGCTTCCATCAGGAGCCAAGAAAGTTTTGCCTTCTGCATGTCGTGCAATGATTGGTCTCGTTGCTGGCGGTGGCCGTGTAGATAAACCGATCTTGAAGGCTGGTCGTGCTTATCATAAGTACAAAGCTAAAAGGCATTGTTGGCCTGTAGTTCGGGGTGTTGCCATGAATGTAAGTTTGTTTTTAGCATAATTTTTGATGGATTTTGTCTGTTACTTGGTGAAGAGGGTTGAGTCTTACCAACAACCATAATGCTTGCAATGGACAATTCCACAGCTCTTAAATTATATATCACCATAAAGCGGACTATTACATGTCTATGTGCATTTAGTTGGTCTACCTTCCAATATTTTGATGTGACTTTGTCTGCTGAATTGTCTTTCTTGTCCTAACTCTTAATAAACTCATCCGTTGGGGAATAAACAATTATTGCTATAGGTTATACTAGTTATACTAGTAAGGTCATTGTGTTAACTTTTGATCAGTCATATCTTGTCCAATAGCATAGTAACCTTAGTTTGAGATTAATTTGTCCTCCCTAAGACTACATGCAATGACCCGGATATGTGTGAATTAATATACTTCGAGGCTCATTTTTTCTTTGATACGGTTTCACGACTTACAAGTACTAACAGTTAATTCCGGATGGATACTAAGTGACGTAGTAAAACGAGTGATGATGAATTTCATATGAAGCGTAGTGTGATTTGTGTCAAGACACTATATTCACGAATTTTGATGATGGAGCAATCTAATAGTGTTCAGGTGAATAAGCGTTTATTCAATTTTAAGTCCGGAACGTAAGGATGTTGAAATTGACATTCTATTGCATGGGTTGAGGTGTTATGATTATTTCCTAACGCCCCTATATTTTCGTTCATTTCGTCAATGTTCTTGTCTGCTTTTCTGTGCAGAACAGCTTTTCTCACTCACTAGACACTTATTTCTTAACAGCCGGTTGAACATCCTCACGGTGGCGGTAATCATCAACACATTGGTAAACCATCAACTATTCGTCGAGATGCATCACATGGTCGTAAAGTTGGTCTCATAGCAGCCAGAAGAACTGGACGAATTCGCGGTACTCGTGTAATAACTACGAAATCTGACAAGGAATAAATACTAAATAAATATGGTTTTCGATATACTTGTTTTTATTTATTTATTTGAGTGCGTATTCGTTTCAGTGTCTTGTATAGTGCTAGAGCCAATGTAGCGGCCAACCTCAATGGAATGAGTTTGTCGCATCCGGAATGAGTGAAAACCGCTTGTTGCTAGTAAACGTTTAGCCTGATTTTAATATATCATTCAAAGTAGTCTTAAAATAAATTTGCGATCTAACTGTTACAGTGAGTCTGCAAAAGTTATCACTCCACGAAGTCATTCACAAAGAATCTTAGTCTTCAGAGCGTTTGAAGATTCCTAGCTTTTATGAACATGAAACGTAAACAACTCATTTAACTTTTTGAGTATCTACGCAGTCAACTTCTGTTCGCACCACTCTAGAAATTAAGGTCGTTATTTGTGTGAAATCAATAAGTGTTAGTCCGTATGGGAGAAGTTATGCGCTGCAATGGCCTCGTTTCTAGTCGTTCAACCGGACAAGTCCGTTTACGAAACCAATGAAGAAACTTGGCGGGATGCTATAAACTGGAAGACCAAAGAAAACTTTCAAGTGAAAAATATGTGGTCTACCATTACTTCAGTTTTCCATCATGTTAGATTGAGGGTCATAAACGAGCGGCTTCCTCCATTATTTTCTTCATCGTAGTTTACGGTGCAACTGAGGATGCGTATATCTTCAGTTGGATGTATCTAAATCATCACCGGATGATTTTGTACAAAATGTTGCTACCGTAATTCGAAATATTTTAAGAGAGCTTTGTGTATTGACCGTAATGGGAATGCTTACGTCATGCAGAACCAAATTATTCCAACACCAACCTTTCCTATCCGAGCTGGTATTTCTCCAGAAATCACTCCACTACAACCACTCCCTATCTTTAAGCTACCAGTCGGTGAACACATTAATTGACTACAACCTCTCAATGATGAGTGAGATGAACAAAATTGCCCATTGTAACTCCTCTCTTTACGAACATCTCTGACAAAATACATTACCAATGATATTCACAATCCACGTATTTACTCGAAATCACAATACTCGAGAAGGAAACTCATCAAAAGCAAATATTTCCGTTTAATTTCGTCAATGATCAAGCCGTTGGCGTTAGCTGAAGCAGCTTCCTAAATATGTGAAGTGGTTAACACGTTCTACCACTTCACTCCCTATTTCTAAGCTAGGAGTCAGTGTAGTCCAGTCCTTTGGCCTCATCATCTTACATTTGGTGGAAGCGAATCACATGCCAAACATTCGAAGTTTGGTGCTCAAGGTGTTCATAAGACTCTGGGTTTTGTCAGAATCTTCACCTAGAACGACTATATCATCTGCATATTCAAAGTCAACAAGATTATTCCCTGGTAACAAGTCAATCCGTGAGTTGCTGAAGTGAGTTAGGATTTATTCCATGAGTACATGTATGATAAAATTGAATAGAAATGGGGATAGTGGGCAACCCTAACGGATATCACTAGCTGTCACCACTTCAGATGACAAGTCGCGCTACGCCATCAACTGCATGAGTTCGAGTAGAGTGAGTGCCATGATCAGTGCAATGTATTTTCTCGGAATTCCTTTTACAGCCAAACATCGCCATAGTACCTCTCGGTTGACAGAATAGAATACCGCCTTTAGGTTAAGAAATATAACGGTTGTTGGAGACCGGTGGTAAGTATGCCTACGTTCCAGAATCTGTTGAAGGATGAAGATATGATCAATACACCCTCTTCCTAGTCTAAAGTTTGCGTGGTTCTCTCCTGTTTGTGCCTCCTGTGCACTACTTAGGTTATGCATAATTATTGAGCCTAGAACTTTAGATACCATTTCGGTCAAGCACACCGCCCTCAGATTATCATTGGAAGACTTGTCTCCCTTCTTGTATATCGGGATAATCAATGACTCACACCAACACGACAGGACTTTCTCTGATTCCCAGACGCTGCCTAATACCCTATTAACGCAGGCAGTAAGTTGTCTCCACCGTTATTAAATACATGGAGTCATTCCATGAGGTCTTCATGGTCTGCCTCGTTTCAGTGATAGCCTTAGTAACTTCAGTTAGGGAGGCTGGACCTGTGTCTATATCCCATTCAGGGAGGTGTTGGATGTTCGGTTAGTTGAGCGTGGCTGTAGGCCAACTGAATTGCTCCTCAAAGTGTTCTTTTCAACGTTCTAGTCGTCTATCCTGGGAGGTGATCATGGAGCCATTTTCCTGAGAGATTGTTTCACTTATCGTTTGCCTTTTACCATCTGTTTCCTTGATAAGCCTAAATAGTTGTCTGGTGTTAGCAATCTCTGATGCCTTTTCCATCTTTCGCTTTTGTTGCCCACCACTGTTCACGGTCGTTTCGAAGGCTTCTTGTTAGTTTGCGTTTGAGTAGCTTTCGCTCGTCTTCGTAATCAGAGCTCTCCGGGAATCGGGGCTCCACAACGGAATTATACCCCACCACAGTGCCTAAGTTGTATTCTTATGTCAGTTTGTTTGATTTTCCGGGTTAGGTTAGCTATCCTCACACGTAAGGGTCCCTCTTTCCCCAGTCTTAGGACTGGCTAAAAACTAGCGAGCAATTAAACTAGGTGAGATGATTTATCCTTAGATTGTCATCTATCTTTGATTCAAATCTCATTTTAATTTGTTAATCTCGAGTTTGTAAGATTTCTGATGAAAGATAAGATGAACGCTGTGTTTGTAGAGTTCATAATTTCTAAAATCAACTTCTCCTTAAGTAATTACCTGATGTATTTGTCCTAATTTCAACACATATTCTGCTGACGTTAATTAAACCATTAAGTCTTGGCATTGACAGACTGCTTTTCCATACTCCTCACACTAAATTCGCCACCAGCCTTTACGTCAGCTTTGGTGCATGTCGTTCAAAGCACTGAATTCCAATATGTAAGCAAACTAGCAAAATGAAATCAACAAGACCTAATAATAATCTGTACTCAAGTCTCTTGAAGGAGCTGGCAGCTTACATAAACAATCCACTAACTCCGATCTTCAGTCTATCCATTTCACAGGGTGTGTTGGAAGGACACAATAGTAAAGCCCACCCATAACGAGAGATCTAGACACTATCTTTCAAAGTATTTTTTCGATCTTTCAAAGTACAAGCTAATAGAAAGAATAATTAAGAAAGCCATCGTGGCATATTTAAGAAATAACAGCTTTTTAAAGAGCCGACACAGAAGTTTCGGAATTCCCATTTTGTCTGACAAGCCTCACAAGAAAGAAAAACCAAGGTGCAACAGGGAACCAATATGCGTTGTCTTCAATGATCGCGGAACTGCTTCCGACATAGTTGCTCACGCGAAAATGTTAAGTTTTGGAATTAAGGGCAGTCTGTACAACTAGGTGGAAAAATTTCTCATTAATAGAAGGTGAAGTCGGGATCAACGCGAAACTATCTTCACAGCAGTCATGAACGACCACGGACTGTATCCACACTTATTCTGTACATCAATGAGTTACCTGGGCTCACCAAACTTCGTATGGATTTTTCTGGAAATTCGGAGAGCGTTAAAAGATGACAGCAACAGATTTACAATACAAACAGAACTCAATAATCTACTGATCAATATTATAAAGGTTTTTGTATTTCTCAATGAATGAAAAACAAAACGATGTCGTTTCCACTGACGTTTCGTTATTTAGTGTAGATAGCTTCATCAAAGTATTATCAAACTAGAATTTACAAAATCTCAGCCAATATATAAAAACTTAATCATCTCTTTTTGCGCTGTCAAGTTGATTTAGCAGCAAATAATCCGCCAAAATTATCAGCCTGCAGTAGTCATTGCTCATCATTGGATGCGGATCTTCATTGCCTAAGTAGACTCATCAAGCGTCCACGCCATTTGGGACGCTTAAGTGTCACGTTCGTTCATGCACGATCCTTAGCTTGTTAAGGAAACATAGTCGCACTACGATTTCGATCCTGAAATGTCTTTCGTATTTCGAATGATCAATTCGGTGTTCTGATTTGCCTCTGGTCTACGTGGAACAAACACTGTAGGAGTTGCGGGTATGAGAGATTACGTTAGTATACATCCTACTCTATATGAATGTCAACACTCCCTCGCATCCTAATCTGGTTAGCTGGATGTATGTCGTCCCGAACAAACCTCGCGAGAAATCAACATCAGAAGAAAGGAACACCGTAGAACATTTACTGGAACCACCGAGAAGTTCAGCTGAGCTAAAAAAATTCTTGGAGAATCATCAGTGATAGAATCTTGCCACAAAATTGATTTTGACAATATTAATCCACTAAGAATGCCTAGTATTAAAATCACTTCATATTGAATAGAATCCGAATTGTTTGAATAGGAATGATAGAATAAGATAGGATTTGACATAGTTCCAAAACCCCTTCCTCATTAAGTGACATAGTCAGCACAAATGTGATAAACAATTTTTTGTATCGTGTAAATACTTATGTTTTTATAATTTCACACACTTATCAAATCCAACAACGTACACATGTTATTATACTCTACCAATTTGCCCAAGTTTTATCCTTATATCAATGTACACATGGTTTTGTTACCTTTACCAAGTGATCAACTTTAAAAAGTAAAAAGAAAGATTTTGTGAATTCTAGTTTGATAATACTTTGATGAAGCTATCGTCACTAAATAGCAAAGCGTCAGTGGAAACGATATCGTTTTGCTTTTCATTTATTGAGAAATTCAAAAGCTTTTTTAATTATATCATATACCCAATGCCTAAACTTTTCCAAACTGCTAAAAGTGAACACGCTTCGGACACATAAATCAATGACCGATTATGTTGGTCAAAACAGTGTAGGCTTCCCATCGACATAACTCGGTGTGCAACCAGTCCCATTGGCATTCCTGTTCCAGCGCATACCACTTGCATCAATTAAGGTGAATATGGATATAAGTGTCAATGTAAATCATGACTTAAAATCTACAGCGAACTGTCGCCTAGTGGCATCTCGCAGCTTAAACACTAGTGGAAGGTAGACAGTGTCTTTACTGGAACCCATGCTGACTTGTATA